ATTTTTTTCTTTGATTAGGATAAAGTTATTAAATTATTTTTTATTGTAACTCATTCAGTGCTTCATTAATAGATATGTCTTATGTTAATGCCAATTCAAGTGATTCATTGACGTTTTCTGAATTTTAGATTTATTTCCATCACTTTCCCATTTGCAATGGAAATAACTCAATTCTTTTAAAGTTATCTCTAAATATTCTAATAGTTTCTCCATATGTAATTCCTTGTATTCTTTTACCCTATAAATATTATTAACGTCAAAGATTAAAGTTTCTAAATTAAAATCAATTAATGCTAAGGTATAATATTATAGTGTTTTATCATTTCTATGGATTTAAACATCTATCAATTAATGTTACGAATGTATTTTGGCTACCCCAACTTATTACTAAAATTATATGAAATTACTTTAATTTATATAGTGCCGATAATTTTTAATCTATAATATTTTTAAAAAAATTATCCATTAACCGGATGTTTTTAATCAATTCTTATTGTTTTTGTTTACCAGTATCAACTTAGACTATTCTTAGATGCTGAAAATGGATAGTAAATCCCTAAATTAGAAATTTTAATATATATATATATATATATATATATATATATATATATATATATATATATATATATATATATATATATATATATATATATATATATATATATATATATATATATATATATATATATATATATATATATATATATATATATATATTAATTTTTTATCATCTCATTTAACTTTACAAAGAAGTCAAATGTACTTATGATGTTCAACACAAACTGCTCAAAATATAGACTTTGATTTTTTTCTATTTCAATGAGAATAAATATTAATTTCATATATATAAAATTCTTTGTGTTCCTAATTTATTACTTAAATAAATTAGAAGCTATCTCTTTATTTTCCTCTAAAATGAATTCTTCTGATGTGCATCCAATAAGAATTTCTGTTATTTCAATAATATTACCTTTGCTCTATCCTTATCATTTTTCATAAAGATCTAAAATAAATACCTGCATTATTCATTACTAATTTCTCTTAGATTATAATATTAATATTTAATTTGAAGAACACAGTATGGAATTTATGAATACTTACTAATTTTTCTTATGTCTTCCATGGAGATTTTTTCTTTGATTAGGATAAAGTTATTAAATTATTTTTTAATGTAACTCATTCAGTGCTTCATTAATAGATATGTCTTATGTTAATGCCAATTCAAGTGATTCATTGACGTTTTCTGAATTTTAGATTTATTTCCATCACTTTCCCATTTGCAATGGAAATAACTCAATTCTTTTAAAGTTATCTCTAAATATTCTAATAGTTTCTCCATATGTAATTCCTTGTATTCTTTTACCCTATAAATATTATTAACGTCAAAGATTAAAGTTTCTAAATTAAAATCAATTAATGCTAAGGTATAATATTATAGTGTTTTATCATTTTTATGGATTTAAACATCTATCAATTAATGTTACGAATGTATTTTGGCTACCCCAACTTATTACTAAAATTATATGAAATTACTTTAATTTATATAGTGTCGATAATTTTTAATCTATAATATTTTTAAAAATTTTATCCATTAACCGGATGTTTTTAATCAATTCTTATTGTTTTTGTTTACCAGTATCAACTTAGACTATTCTTAGATGCTGAAAATGGATAGTAAATCCCTAAATTAGAAATTTTAATATATATATATATGAAAAATACCAAACAATTACACTTTTCTTTGCCAAGTTTTAAAATTTTAGCCCATTTTTGTGGTTTTGAACTTTGAGGGTGTGATTTATAATTTTTAAATTTTTGAAAGAGTTTTTAAAAAAATTTACTTTTAAGTTTGGTAGTTGTAAATTCTATGTTTCATGTGTTGGTGGTAATTTTTTAAATGTTAGTATATTTCTTGTAACTCTAAAATTTTGAGGGTGTCTTTTGCAATTATTAAAACTATAGATTAATTTTGAAAAATATTAAATTTTAGCGGTCTACCAATCGACGAATTTGATGTGTGCTAGTTAAATTTTTTGAAAATTTAGAGTTTTTTTTTACGATTTTTAAATTTTGAAGTGGTTTTTTAAAAATTTTGAGGTTAATTTTGGCAAATTTTAATTTTTTAGGTGTCTAAGGGTAATATCTTGAATTCATCTTATTTTATTTACAAATTTTAGAATTTTAGGGTGGCTTTTTATAATTTGAACATATAAATGTGTTTCTACATATATATAGATATTGAGGGTGTTAATTAAAAAAATTAAATGTCAAAAATTTTAGGTGTATCATGGTAATCTCTTGAATTCATCTGTGTTGTTTGTAAGTTTTAAAATTTTAGAATTTTAATGTGCTTGTCTATAATTAATTTAAACTTTTGAGGGTGTTTCTATATTTTTTGAGACATTGAGGTGTTAACTGTAAATTTTAAATTCTTTGCAAACTGATGTTAATTTTTTAATTTCATGTTTTTATTTTAAGTTTTGAGACATTTGGATGAGTTTTATAATTTTGAACTTTTCAGGATCTTTTCTGCAATTTTAAAACTTTTTATGGTTTTTTTTGCAATACTTCATGTATTATAATATGTTATCTACTTGTAATTTCTTTATCTTAACAAACTAATATCATTTTTATGTTTTATATATTTTATTAATATTAGTTTTTTTAAATTGTTAAGCTAAACATGGTTCACATAGGATTAGGATAAGATATGATTATGATTAGGATAGATTAAGATATAAATAAAATATTCAAAATAGTGAAGGGTAATATTGACCATTGAAAATTAGAATTTGATTATAGATAAGGTAGTTCAAACTATAAAGGGGTATATTTGTCTAAAAAAGATTTTCCGAACTCGTGCTTTTAAAGGGAGTATGACTAGTTGAGATGCACGTGCAATGCACGTGGTTGAATATCATTCGTCCATGCTTAGTGAATAGATTACTAAAAAATTTATTGGTACTTTGATATCCAAAATTCAACATCATTTCACTTTGATACCTCCAAAATATGTTTAACAATTTGATACTCCAAAATATGTTTAACATCAAAATTCACTTTGATGGCTTTATCTATATTCTGTTTAATTTCCTTTAAGTTCATATCACATGCTTAGTGATTAGATAAAATGGACTGATGTGTACTACATGCTAAGCATATGGTAAGAACGTGATAAAAATCTAACAGAAAATCTAACGAGATGTGGACGATGTATCAAAGTGAAAAATGTGATTGAAACCTTGGGTATGAAAGTGTTAAGGAAATAATTATGGGTATTAATGGAAAACATAATTGAAACTTTGGGTTTTGAGTGTTAAAAAATTACTTTGATGCATCGAAGTTAAAACATAGATAATCTTTGGGATGCCAACGTGAGAATAAGCCACCAAATAATCAAAAGGTTTTTTTTTCCTTTTTCCTTTTTCCTATACTATTAGTCTCTTAATCTTTTATATTTAAAATTAGTCCTCCAAATCATTGAAATTACTATTAGGCATCCTGATTCTTAAGCTAGTTTGAAATTAGTCCCTTAAATCATATTGAAATTGCTATTAGGTCTACCAACTCTTAAGTCATTTTGAAATGAATCATTCAAAAGTAGTATAGCATTGAGGGTTCTATTTGAAACTATTTGGGATTGAGGGATCTATTAAAAATTTTAATATGAACCATTTCATAGTGGTAAACATACAGAATATAGAAACTCATATATTTTTGAGATATTATCAGTGCAACAATGCCCATTAGAACTCATAAAGCTCTATTGGCGAGCAAAAAAATTCCCAACACATACTTTTATTGTGTGCCTAGCGATGGGATAAAATGAATTAAAATTAATGTATCACATGTTAATGCTAAGGACATGATATAAATTTAGCAAAAACCTAAACAAATCTGGATGTAATGTAAAAACGAAATATGATTGAAATTTTGGAGGATCAAGTGTTAATGAAATACTCTCAAAGTATCAAAGTGAATTAGGAGCAGAATTTTGGAATACTAAAGTTTTAGAAAAATACGTTGAGGTGTTAAAGTGAGAAAAGTAGACAAACTTTGATGCACCAAAGTGAAAATAAACCACTGAATTACTATTTTTTTTTCCATATTAGTCACTTAAATCTTTCACATTTGCAATTATTGTCTCCTTCAAATAGTTGAAATTGCTATTAGGCCTGGTCCTTTCAATCCTTAAGCTATTTTGAAAGTAGTCCCTCAAATCATCAAAATTGCTCCCTGGGGGAAAACTAATTTTGAGTAAAATTACCCCATCTAACATCTTTTATTTGGCACTCTCTCCCTCCCTACAAATGAACCAATTTTTGGTTTTCACCTTTGTTCATATTCTTTTGATTTGTGACATATGTCACACTTGTTGAATGGTTGATTTTATTCATGCACATGTTTATTTCTTAATCTTAACCTTATTTGTGTAAGAATAATTGTAACTCTCTAATTGTAGTCTAATTTAGATATTAGATCCACAAGTTTTTACTCCAATAGATGCAGAATGAGATTTACCAAACAAATGAATTGAAAAATCTAGAGTTGATTGAAATTGTAATATTTGTAGAATTGAAATTTTAATGGAACCTAAATAATAGAGTTGAAAATGATTTTGTTTTTTGGTTTGACAAGAGAACTTCTAGGGGATCCTCCGAACCATGGGTATTAACACCCCCCCAACCCCCCCACCCCCCCTCTCAGATATTCAGGAAATTAACTTTCTGTGAGAGTCAAATCTAAGACCTTAAAGTACTAGTTCGGGCTAGAGCCACTTGTGATGAATTGAAATTAAATCTAAAATTTTAGATTCTGGGATTGAATTCTAGAATTTCAATTTAAATGTTTGCATCCAAACGTAGCCTTAAAAGGGGTTGACGATATGGGCCGGGTCGATCCGAACGTGACCTTAAATGGGTTAATAATATGGGCCGGGTCTAGAAGTCCGGTCCAAAGAGTTCAACTACGTTATTCGGGCCCTACAAACTCTGCGGCCGTCTGCGCTCCCACAACCCCATTCCCAGCGTCTACATTCTTGCCGTCCAAACCAAAAAAACCCTTCTAAAACCCTACGCTCTCCCTCTCTCTCTAAAATCAAAGATGTCAATGATCCCCGGCTCCTCTCGCTCTAAGCTCTGGATCGTGATCGGGATCAGCGTCGCTGGTGCTCTAATCATCGCCGAGACCACCCGCCGCCGCCGGAGACGATCGCTTAAAGGCCCGATCTTGGCCGTAAAAGATTTTGGCGCCTTCATCGATCGCTTCGAGATCCTCCCTTCTCCTCAGCCACCGCCTCCCGCCGCCAAACTCCAGCTCGCCGGTCTCACCTTCGCCGTCTCCGACAAGTTTGCTCAATTTCATGCCTTTTTTTTGGATTAATAATAGGATGTTTATTGGTTTTTGATTGTTTTGGTTTGGTTGTGTCTGTGTAGTTTTGATGTGAAGGGTTTTGTTTCGGGGTTTGGGAACCCGGAGTGGGCGAAGGCCCATGAGGAGGCGTCAAGGACGGCGGCGGCTGTCTCATCGGTTCTGAAGAATGGGGCCAAGTGCGTTGGGAGAACGGTTATGGATGAATTCGCATGTGGGTATGTAATACTTTTTATCTTAAATTTGTATATATGAATTTTATAATACGTGCTCTGTTCTCTTTGCTAATTAAGTTGGAAGTTTGTTATCCAATTTAGTACTTCCTGTGAAATTTGGTCATGTTTTCCGCGATCGTTCTTTTTTTTGTGAATTAGACTGTGGCATATTCATTGTGGTGATCATGGTTAGTTTGTCTCTTTGTTTATTCATTTACTGTTTATTTATGTTAGAGTTTTTAAATTCCTGTTCGGAACACATTTTCCCATGTACTTATCAGTTTCAGTTTTTTTTTTCCTTGAACCAATGAGTTTCATGTCAAGCGCCTGTATTGTGCATAATTCCCATCTGCTAAATCCTAGAATCACATGGATGATCTTTAGAATTTATTTATGTAGAGACGCCCTTCTCAGTGGGCCTCATTTTAATAGGGGACTGTGATGTATTCATTTGAGTGCCATGTCCAATTCATATGAGGAGTTGAAGTAGTTAGAGTGCTTTACTTATGTATGACTGTTATCGCGGTGCTTTACTCATGTATGATTGTTATTGCAGTGTCACAGGAGAAAATTTACACTATGGTACCCCAATCAACCCGGAACTTCCATCCTGTATTCCTGGTGGATCATCGAGTGGTTCTGCTGTCGCTGTTGCGCTCGGAAACTGCTCGCCACTTTAGCCCTTGCTCCTACAGCTGACAATCCCCCCCCCCCCCCCCCCCCCCCCCCCATATATTACATGCTAGCCGTCAATGCCCATGACAAGTAAATGCTCAAGTCTACAACAGTTGCTCTATGTGGCCCCAAGTCACATGCTGGATGCAAGCTGAAGTAAACATGAAATAAAACTGTTTAGAACACTCGGTCCGTGTATCCAAGCATGTAATAAACATTGTTAGGCATCAAGCTTGGAGTAGGTCCAGTCTACTTTTGTCTGTGCAGACTAGTGTAGGCGTCAAAAATCGCCTATAGGTTCCCGAGCACAGCTTAAAATGAAGAGAAGGCGATGAACGCCATCACCCGTGTCAAACGAGATTATCCTGTACCGTAAAAGAGCTAACGAGTGCATGAAACAAGCAGTGTTTTAAATGTCGGACATGTCGGCCGACATGTCGAATTTAGGGGCCAATCAACACGATATGGAGCTTTTCAATGCATATTGCGTTTTCAGGGTTCACGTCGGATATATCGGGGGATATGTCGGGCGGATATGTTGGGTGATATGTCGGTTATGTCAGCCGATTTTTCAATCTAAAAAATTAGCTGGTTTTTTTAAATTTTTTGGTTATGTTTGTCTAATCAGGTTTGAGTTTAAATTCTTGATTGTCTTAATATTTCTTTCAAAGACAAAAACCGATAAGTTAAGAGAAATGGAAAACCGATTTTTGCTATCTGACATGAATTTTAGCCGTCCGACACGAACTTGATATCCGACGTTTAAAACATTAGAAGCTAGTCAACAAAGCGTAGGAGTCAACAAAACGACAAAATACGCAAAACGGCGGAACAAGACCAAAACGAAAAAGCCCCTGGCAGCCGAGTCGCATCAAAACGTCTCGGCCAAGGCCGAGCCACCATAGGGTGGCTCGCACAGTTTCGAGTCACCGTAGGGTGGCTCGTGTCTACTGTCTAGAAGTGCCCAAAACGCGTTTTTCGATGAGTTTTGTCGGGATTTGTCCGTTTCAGAGTCTCACAACTGCTTTGATACTATCTCTAAACGTGGTTAAGCGGTTATTAACTGAGGATAGGGTCAAATCATCAATTTTTATCCTAAAATGTTGCATCCGAAGCCTATAAATACAAGCCTAGGGTCCTTTACGCAGGGGATCTGAAATTTAGGCGAGGTGCTGTCCATGTGAAGAGTGAATCACGAATTTCTAAGAGACTAGCAGATCTTGGCGAAGTTCTTTAGCATAAAGAGGGAGGGTTCGAGAGAACTGAGGCCCATTCCCCTTTCCTCCGGATCAAACTTGGTTTTGTTCTCGAGAAGTCGTAATTTCGCTTGGTTGAGATTATCACTTCTGCGATTGTTTTCTTTGTGAAGCAAGAGCATTGAAATTTTGTTCTGTCAACCGGATTTGATTTGTGACGGTCCACGGACTAACGCGTCGCTGGCACAGACAAAGATCCCACACAAGCAGCGGTTGATAAACGCCCTCTGCGTGTGTTTCTAGGGAGTTGTATTTTTATTTTTTTATTTATGTAAGAAAAGTCTTATAAAAAGACTAACTCTTTTGAACTTGTTGTAAGCGATTGAAGTTGTAATGCGTTCCATGAATAAACCAACGTTCAACGCAAACAACTAGTAAAGTCTTGAGTAGTAGTTCATGCTGCACTTGGGGTCAGAAACTTGATGCTTAGAGTGCATCTAAAAAATCTGTTCATTGTTCACAGGACCTTAAAGCGAAGATGATTAACTTGATTGGAACTTATGGCCTTTGTATTACTACCTCTCCCCTTTCTCTCATTGGCGACCACTTTCACCTAAAAACTTTCATTATTAGATACCCAGCTGATTTTATTATTTAAAACAAATGTCCCTACATTATTTACTTTTGATAAGATGACTGCTTAGTGACTTTGGGAAAAACCTCCATGGCTACATCTCTGAAGATTGAACTTTCTTTGTGAGGGGCATGTTCCTTTTTGTTGCAACTGGAATGTTATGCAATCAAATTTCCCAATCTAGGTACTTCACCTTTAGTCAATAGCATCTCCATATTGTTTTCCATCATGCTGTGTCTTGCTCTATTTTTTTAGTTTGCATGGTGAAGCTGTAAAGTGAAACTTTAGCGTCTCTACTTCAACTTCTGGACAAACATGTTAGTTATGACTAAAATCAGAGTGCATGAATGCTTGTTTTGTGCATGTGATTTTCCATGTATGTATTTGTGAAATTTTAAATCACACATTCTGATTTATGTAGGTACTGATACAGTTGGATGTGTGAGAATCCCAGCATCCTATTGTGGTATCTTTGGTTTTAGACCTTCCCATGGGGCTGTATCTACAGTTGGCGTGTTGACAAACTCACAAAGTCTTGACACTGTGGGTATGACATACTAATCAACCAACGCACCTTGTTTTTTAATTATGCTTGATTGGAGTGTCCTGTTAAATTTGTGTCAATTCTTATTTAATTTATTTTGTCTTGTTACCTCAGAAAATTTATTTATTTTTAGTTGTTAATTTTTGCAAGGCATTTGAATTGTCCAGTTTGAAGAATCCGTGATTCCTTTAAAAGTTGTCCATAAAGGATGTCTCTTGCCATTTATGATGCTCTTTAGATTGTTCTGATTTACGAAGTCTTGATATACGTGTGTTACCTACATTTACTGGCTTCAAATTTATCACATGTCCAGTGTTATATGCTCTAATAGGTCAATGTAGCTATACGTGATATTCACTAAGAGTTTGTCTTATTAGATTTTTTTCTATTTGTATGTGTGTGTCTACACACACATATGTTTGTGCAATTTATTGTCCTTGTAGTCTTGAATTAACTGGATACGTGGCTATCAGTAAAGTTGAAAAGTGGAAACAAATCAATTTTCCTCCACTAGACTAATGCCAAACAAATCAATATTTGGAGGCTAGTATATTTGTAATTGGAAGCATGTCTTTGTTATGTAATACATTCATTTAGTTTTTTAAAAGTGATACGTATCTATAGTAGTACAGTGTGTTTGTCATCTCCTGTCTCACTCGTCGTATGTCACAAAGTCTGATGCATTTTGTTATATATGATTAATTTGTGTAACATTTAATTTCATGAAAGGTGAAATGTAATATCAAATAATTTTTTATATTTTATTATGTTGATTCTAAAGGAAGTTAATAGAGAAATTTAAACAAAGAGAATTTTTATGGGAACAAGGTAACTCACCATTTCAAACAACAATTAATCAAATTCTCAACTAACAATCAATTGCCTTCAACAAACAGAAGTAATTATTTCTGGTTACTCTACTTGTAGAAAATCCTCCAGCCAGTAAGTTTACATGTAAATTTCAAATCAATCTCATAAAATTAAACTTATCAACACACAATAGAATATCTATAAAACATAAAAAAAAGACAAGATAGGGATAATATTCAAATATATACCAAATCTACTAAATAAATCTTAACTAAAGCCAATCAGAGATGTGGTAGATTTGTATTATTGCCTAGCTTATCGGTATTATGATGATATCGTCCAAATCACCCTCCATCAATTATTTTAGACCAAAGTAGATTACACTAATTCTTTTTGTTGTCCTAAGAAACAATGCACCATTAGTTAATTACGTGAATTCTTACCTGGCTATTAGTCGATGCTTCAGATTTATCAATGCACATTATGTATGCACACTTGTGCTCAAGCACATGATCAGTTACTTTGATTTCAAATTATAAGCTTTGAACCATATATCTTAGTGACTACTCTCGTCTGCTACTTGAAATCAGGTGTACCGAATTAAATCTTTCTAGATACTGACTAAAAGTTGAAGTAAATATTCCTTTCTCCCAAGTTCTTTTTCTCACTTATCAGATTTACTTGACAGTCTTAAGATCTAAGATACCTTTCAGGATTGTTTGCACGTGATCCATCAATATTACGTTGTGTTGGAAATATATTGTTGCAAGCGTCTTCAAAACCAGTTAGGCGGGCAAGGCGCTTTATCTTCGCAGATGATTGCTTTCAGTTTCTAAGAGTTCCAAAGCAGAAATCTATGCATGTTTTAAGTAAAGCAATTGAATCACTATCTGGATGTAAGTTTAAATGGATTTTTTCCATCTTTGCTATCTAGGAAGCTTTGTCCATTTTATAGATTCATAGCCACTCTCATAGTGATCTCTTTTAATGTACAGACCTGTCACCAACACATATGAATATTTGTCAGTACATTGCTTCAAAGGTACCAAGTTTAAAGGAATTTTCTGAGCCATATATGAGAATGGAACGTGCTACTTCTGCTTTCAAGTCTCTTTCAGCTGCAATGATATTATTGCAAGGGTATGTAAACTTTCATTATGAAGCTGAAACGTCATCGCAACCTCTGTCATTTTACAATTTCTTTTAGGAGTAAAGATTTTTGTGTTGCACAATATTGCTAACTTGTTATGTTTTGGATATTAAAGAATTCTTTCATGTGATCTTACATGCTAGTTTACTTGGAAGGCCTGTGTCATAAAAATATCCATCGTGTCCTTTCCAGTTTCCATCGCACAAGCCCAATCCCACGATCTATAGCTTGTAGTTTAATAAGAGTTTGTGGGTCCGGTTTTGACCATATTCTATTTCTGGCAAATGCACATGGAGAGTTGGTTTTATATATGGTTCCAGATCTGGTTCATTAAAATCTTGTTGAAATATGTAATTTTTAATCCAAAAATAACTGGTATCTTGCTTGGATCATTAGTATTTAAATAATGATGCCATAAGCCTCTACTTATACTTGGGGTGCAAGAGATGTGGACAGTTGCCCTTCAGATTGTATATGATGAAAACATAAAATCTTGGCCTATTGTCACATTCCAATACCTGCTCCCAGTTATTGAAATTTCTAACAGGTACTGGAAAATGGTATGATTTTCCAAACACTAACCTTATTAGAACCATCCTGTAGGAGTGGGGCTGCTAGAACCATGAATATAACAATTAACATTCCTAAAATGTCCTTCCTACCCTCTCGTGAATGTCTCCAATTACCAATTTTTATGAGGGTGTTCTGATCAAATTTGTACTCTGATTCCATCCAAATAAAGTTCTATTTGACTAAAAAAAACAAAGAATAACTTGATTTATTGGGTTTGGACTCCAAAGGTGTATGTACCCATATGAAATGCAACTTGAAATCACACCATATAAATATGTCTTATAATATTTCTTTGTGGTTTCGAACATTCATTACCATTGTTGGTATTACAAGAAAATGGAAACGTAAAGAATGCTTTGGCTTGTTGAAGTTATCATCATCAACATTTAATTCTTTTCTTTTGTAATTGTTCGCGATTGGGATTTAGTTGTTTGTTATCGGCCTTATATCTAAACTGGGATGTCCTACGAATGAATCGACCAGGTTTTTATTACCCCAGCCATCCACCTGACACCAATTTCAGTTACTATGAGTCTAAATTTTGGCTAAAATACAGGCGAGGTCCCTATACTACTAAATCCTCAGTGCTAGCTCACCCTATCTTAGACTTGTGGAATCTGAGTTATGTTTTTCCATTCTTTTTTTAACTGGCATTTCAGATTCACCATATGAGGAACATCTCAATAACACAGAAGATATTGAAACTTGTGTGGTTACATAATTAATCTTTAGTTATCAATGAGTTTTGGAAACATGTTTAGTCATGATTAGCTGTTTCTTGGTCAGATTGAAGTCGTCTCTTCCCTAATTAAAGCAACCTATGAATCTCAGAATCTAATTTAGTTCTTCTCTCACGAATGAAGATGAACCTTAGAGCTATATAGAGTGTTTAGATGGGGAAATATCTAGTAGTTGTAAAATATTCACAGTTTCTTACCCTAACACACGAAAAATAGAATAGGCAAGAAAGAACTTTTGAAAACAGGAATTCTTAGCTGACATAGATCAATTGCAAAGTAAGAGTAACTGGACATGCTTCTCCAATTAACTATGTCTCGAAAACTGCAACCAGTCTTCTCAAAAATTTCAGGCAGTTCAACTAGCTTATTAGCCTAAATATTCTAGTCAGTTAAAATACATAAAGGGTTGCTAATCACTTCTGAACCGAGTGCATTATAATAAATGGTTGTAAAATTTTCCATGTCATTAAATCTAAATGCAAGATTTTCTGTTTCTTGATCCAAACTGTCACCCTGAAGCAAGTGGGATGTATCATTTAATCAAGTATATTAGTTTGGTTGTTTGCTCAGACCAGTTCTACCCAAGAAACTTCATCATTTAGCGAGTTTACTGAAAGTTGAAAGCATTGAACTAATCTGACCAGGTAAAGAAGTCTGATCTAGTATGTCAGTGGTCTTTATGTTAAAATTTCATTAAACTGGCTTCAACCTGGTGGGCAAAACCTAAAATATAATCAAGTTTGCATTATCTAGGACTGAGCAAAATTTTAGCTATTTATTGCAGTTGTAGACAGTTAACTATGTTCCAACTGTAAGAGCCAGTCAAAATATTAATTCAATGTCAGAACATGTAGATTTTCTCAGTCCTTGATCTATATGGTAAAATCCAGCAATGTGCATGTTCTGACATTGAATTCATATTTTGACAATCAGCCACTAAGGCTTAAAATTTGAAACAGCTTGCAGCCTATTAAGCCGGCTAATCATTTAAAGGTTGAGCCTACTCATACTTGGTTCAGTTTAAGTACATCTCATACTCAGTTCAGTTCAAGTACGTGACTAATCTGTGTCCACATGAAGACAGTTCACAGCTTGGATTATTAGCTGACATCTAATGTAAACTAAGTTCCATGAAAAATGCGCTATGCACCTCTGAATATAGTGCTTGTTCAAAAAGCAAAGTTTCATACTTTCTTATTGAGTTCTCTCTGTTGGATAAAAGAAGAACTGAAGGAGAAACATGTCCAGGTTTCAGTCTTTCAGATGCTTGAACAGGGGCGCCCAACTGGTGCACTGCTCAAAAGAAAGAAAAAGGAAAAGTAGAAGGAATAGGAGAATATATATGTGTACTTTCAGCCTTTTCATCTACTAATTGCAGTTGCAGCTCCACATAAACAAATGGCTATAGGCATCTCCACTGAAAAGCACTTGACTGCTGTACATTTCAACTTGGACATGATAACCGGATGAGTTGATAATTTTTTGTTGTGAGCTTTAGTAGTGCATCTGATTTCATTAGGTGTTAATAGTACTAACTTATCATTTGGTGTTAATAGTACTAACTTAAGTAGCTTATAAACACATGCACATTGCTGGATTTTACCATATAGATCAAAATAAATTTGAGGTTGGATCATTATTGAACGACAGAAGATGTTGCAAATCCTGGATTTTCTGATTGGACAGTGGAACTTAGGATAATGTGAATGCTGAGATAGACTCGAGTTGCAATTTTTTATGTCCACAGGGTGACGTGAAATGAATTTGACATTCAATGTTTATAAGACTTTAGGCTTATTTCTCTAAGGATTCAAGAATACAAACGAGTTTAGGTAAGTGAAACCCAGGCATATAAATTGCGAAGAATTGCTTGACATAGGTGGGGTTTATCAAGGTTTGCTTTGATAGCCTGATCAAGATTTCAAAAGTTTGAAGAATTTATTAGGTTCAGGAGAGCTGGGTCATACTTAATCTATGCATCATAAACGGAATATAATCATCAAGCAGTCATATATCTTTTGTAACCAAAATGGGGTTGGCTGTAGAGTACTTCTCAAACCACTTGCCAATTTATGATGAACCATCATCTCTTATCTAGTGAAACTTTTCTTTCTAGCATAAACTACATACAACCGCACTAGCTTTCCCACAGTCCTAGAAGAACAATTTCGGTCCTCTGGAAGTGCCTAGAAGGAAAAATAGAATGTAGTAGGAGAAAAGGCAAGAATGCGAGAACAGACTCTACCACCCTCGTAAGAGGTACAACTATACCATAATGTGCTGTGATCTCACTTTTATATTTTACATGGATCTTTATTTAGTTCTCAACTCAAAATTCAGTATACAGTTTGAAAAGACAAATTTTAATGTAACAATATGGATTTATGGTGTTACTACTTTACGATGATTGTAGATTGACGATATTAGATTATTTCACATGCATATAATTGATAACAGTTAAGCCCCAATATATCCTGCTTGATAGAAAAAGTTTAAATTTGATGTTAAGTCAAAGTTATGGATGCTAAAAGTTTATTAATATGAATTGCCAGTGCTAAGTTAATGCAGATAAATATGTTAATTTGCTTTTGTTTTCTCAATCAAATCTGTCTCAGTTTTGCAATATTTAAGTCCTATGTTAGCATGATTCAGACTGCATAAGAGATTGCATTTGCTTAACTTTTATTTTCAGACTGTGATCTTATTTCTTTGCTTTATGATAAGTAGGTTACTTTAAATTCTGACATAGCATTCACCTATCCAGATATGAATTCAAAGCAAACCATAGAGAATGGATTAACACAGTGAAACCGAGGATAGGTCTGGACATTTCTGCTCGAGTTCTTGCAGCAATAAGTTCTACTCATGAGAATATTAAATCCTTATATAAAGTTCGGAGAGAACTGAGAGCTGCACTGAATGACCTTCTTAAGGTATCTCTCGTTTGTGACCTTTGATAATATGAGAAGCTTATTTCCTTACCTCAGAGTCTTTCTAGTGAGGTCATATGGTTCTAGTTTCTGCACATTTTACTAATATTCTCCTCATCATTTAAGTATTAGAAAATACAGTCTATTTGTTATTACCTTGCCCATAAACTGTGGTTTGTATTTTATCATCTCTTTTGGCGTCTAATAACTGATGTACATATTGTTTAATACAAATGATTTTTTAAAGTAAATTTATGAGACATCTAATATCCATGCAACCCTACTGCTCTACCGTGTTAACATTAGTATGAGATTATATATCTTGACCCACTTGTTTTCAACTTTTAATGAGAGTACGCATACTCCATTTGGCACCATTTACTCCTCAAACATAATTTTTCAGTTCTTTATCGGGTTAAGAAGATTATTTTTGATAATTAAGAAGAAAAAAAAATTATTTCTGGCTTCTTATGCTGCACCTCAATCTACTCGACTAATACTTGTTGACTTATTGAGCTTTTTAACTTGCATCTGAAAGCAAGGTTTTAAATGTCGGATGTCGGGTTCATGTCGGATGGCTGAAATCCATGTCGGATAGCGAAAATCAAGGTTTTAAATGTCGGATGTCGGGTTCATGTCGGATGGCTGAAATCCATGTCGGATAGCGAAAATCGAGGATATATCGGGGGACATTGACTAAATATATGTCGGATGGCTGAAATCCATGTCGGATAGCGAAAATCGAGGATATATCGGGGGACATTGACTAAATATTGGATTGTCATATCTGGTAGTGCGCATATATAATATCATGTCCTAAATATAATCTAAACATTCATAAATTCAATATAAACATACTTTATAAATTCTATAAAATAAACATATAAAAAAGTAAATAATATATGGATTTGAGTTCATAAATTCTTTCTATCGGGTTCATAAGAAATCCTTAAACATGAGAACGGGTCAAACGGGTCAAACGGGTTTGGGTATTTATCACTAAACCCAAACCCGATAATAAAAAACAAATCTTAAAAAAAGTATCATATCGGCTGATTTTTCAAAGCTAAAAAATAGGCCGATATGCCTGATATGACCCTGATATTTTCGATTTGGCCTTGAAAACCGACATACGAGTTGAAAACGTCCATGTCGTGTCGGTCAAGCTCTCAAACCGATATGTCGGCCGACACGTCGGACATGTCGGTCGACATTTAAAACCTTGTCTGAAAGAATTTTCCCTCGTCTTTAATATCATTTTAGAGTGATTATTTAGATTCTTTTTGTAGGTATCAAGTTTCTTTTTTCCATCTTCTGTTAGTTTCTTGCAAGTTTTATCTTCATTAGAGCCCAGAGGAGCTGAAAAGCTAAGCTTTCATGATTTTGGTTCAGTTTCGACTGAAATTACTAAGATGCTTAATGCAATAAAATTTAAGTCTTTGTAACATATTTTAGTGGCATGGTCTTCGCATACTCCTGCAATCAATTGTATTTGCTTTCAATATTAACTGGTGTGCACCCTGTGCAAAGCACAACCCCTTATTTTTTTAAGCACTGCATTTTGAACTTGTCTCCATCTAAGTTTTAATACATTTTATTTAATTATTGTATGCTTAAATTAAAAAAATCATATCCACTTCTCTATACTTAAAGAATGATTCAAGTTTTAATACATTTGATTTAGAAATCATATAGGATTCAAGTTTAAATATATTTGATTTGCTTTATTGTTTATGATACAGTAAAAAAAAACTGTAGCATGAATAGGTCCTTCGAATATGGAGGAGCAAATTCGATTTACTGTTTTACCACAGTAAATACTATAGCATGAACATTAGCTTCAAGTGCCGAGAACCAGTTTTGGTTTACCGTTAATACATTTGTTTTATAAATCATATCTACTTCTTTATACTTAAAGAATGATCCAAGTTTTAATATATTTGATTTTTTTTACTATTTATGATATAGTAAATTACTGCATCATGAATAGTAACCCCGAGTATGGAGGAGCAGATTTGATTCACTGTTTATGATATAGTAAAATACTATAGCATGAACAATAACTTCGAGTGAAGGGAACTGTTTTGGTGTACTATTCATGCTACAGTAGTTACTGCACTGTAGCATGAACAATAATTAGAGGAGTAGGTGTAGATGAATAAACTATTTTTATTCTGGACTCTTCTAATATTTCAATAAAATAGGATATCATTTTCATTATTTCAAATTTATTGGCATTCAACTTCAGAAAATATAAGAATGATCTAACCAGTTGAGTTATACAATCGAAAATTGTATATGTTAGAATTAATATAAAACTATAATCCTTGATCCTTATCATAACTTCGGAGTTTTGATGTAATGGTTAGAGGAACTAAATTTAAGATGGTATCAGAGCAACCCAGGTTCAAATCCCACCGGCCACGAATTAAATGCGGATTTTTAAAAAATTGACACTGCTACGTGAGTCTAGGTTTCAATCCATAAAAAGGGCGCTCAACCTGCGGGGGCATGTTAGAATTAATATAAAACTATAATTCTCGATCCTTATCATAACTTCATAGTTTTTGTGTAATGGTTAGAGGAACTAAATTTAAGAGTGTAGATGTTTCTTGTGATTTCTAGAAGAGTTCAAATTTTTTTGTTTTAGCCTTTTTGATGTGGACTTGATGATCATCTTATTAGTTGTTTCTTCATTTTTCTGAGGATGTGTTTGGTTTTGGCTTATTTGGTAAATCATGTTGAATATATGAATTCAATTGCTCTCAGGAGTTGCTTATAGTTTCCCCACTTCGAAACCCTTACTTCATTACAGGAACCATAGAGGTTCCTTTTTGGTTATGAGGTTATACAACATAGCACATAATTGATGTTTGGCTTCCGCCGACTAGCCT